AAGTTAGCCCTCGCAAACTGCCACTTCTATAATGTTATAACGTGTAAGCTTGCTTTATTTAAATATTTCTTTCAGCCGTCATTGTCATCAAGTTCACTTCTGCTACAATGCCTGAGGAAGAAGTTATAAAAATCTTTGACAGAGACTTCAAAGGCCTACTTCCATGACGTACGTGATCGTATAGAAAAAAAGGGGGGCCGGCGAAGAGTAAGTAAACAGTTTTTGTTAAATTAATGTTACTATACTACAAACCGTTTCATGGTATGTCAATCAACTAAATTCTGTTTTTATCTTTTACAGGTTGCTGTTGACAATAAGAAGAGTGACCAGAGGATCTCTGCTGTAAATGACAATTTAACTAGGTTAATGCTGCATAAATCTATAATATGACTGCCAGTAGCGTGTAATAGTCAACGTTATCATAACTACTGCTGTTAATTATATGAACTACGTGTTAAGGTAGACAGTTGGTTCAACAGTACGTGATTTGTCTATAATGACTCAATCAATATTGTATGTTCATCGGAAAATCCAACGTTAAATAATACTCACACTTAAGGTCTGTGCGTCGGTGGCACAGTGGTTAGGACTCTCGCCGACCATGCACATGGTCCGGGGTTCGAGCCCACGCCGGCGCACACCTGATATCTATGGTCGGCCTGCGAAATTTGGGCTACCGATATCCATGCTGAAAATGCCATACTTGTACCAAAAATTACAGTGTGGAATCAAGCTGTAAATCTAAAAAAAAAATCGTGGTTTGTTTGACGTAAACAAAATAAGGGAAAAATATGCGAGCGAAAGGGGAAATTCGGCTGGTTAAGGTGAAATCGTGACGTTAAAAAAGGGGGAAAATGTGCGGTATCTGGGGGAAGGGGGAAAATCTTACTATCGCCCAATTTTGTCCCCTTTTTAAACACAATTTTCTGCGTTTTTGTCGGATTGGGATGGAGAACGCTGTCGAGCGAAGTTGTTGAGAGACTCGCATCTAAATAGAACGCTGTAGGCAACAGCATTCCTTGTTAAGAGCTGCAAACCTCTTATGTACACTTTCACAGTGAATTAGACTAAATTAAATCGGCCCAATCCGCACGTCTTCCATGCTTTTCAGATTTGACAGTTATATAATAGCCTAATAATTTAAGAAATCTGAGGATATTTTGGCCTCTTCTGCAAAATTCAACAATGTTAAAATAGTCTCGGATAAAACACCAAACCAACGACAAGTAGCTAAGAACACCTTAGATACAAACACGATCATATCACAAAACATGAATTTCAGTGCCGAATTATTGAAGGGCACTGAAGCACAAAGCGATACTTACATAGTAATAGGTGAACAAACGACATATAAAGTGAAGTGAAACCTAAAAGGTGCAATAACACTGGGAAAGAGAGCACTCCGAAGAAATCTAACGAACCCACACATGAAGTGCACATCGATGTTCCCACTGCCAATAGCCTGCAAATATCGATAGTTCACACTCCATCCAGGGCCAAGTAAGATATTCACACAGTGTAAACCTGGAAAAAGTCCCCGAAAACCAAGGTCTCTCCACAGGCGTCCATATGCCTTAGTTACTACTCTAAGCCCACCAAACAGCATATAAGCCTGGAAAAGAACTATGCACGCATTGCAGCACGTCCCATAGAGGAGAAACACATGAGTAAAAGTGCTCTTCTCCGCACTAAGAGCAATAAACAAAGTAAGGGCGACAGTCAGTGTGAGGTGAGAGCTAACAGCATATATAGCTTTATGCACACAAAACCACACGCTGGAAAACACGCATGGGGCACCAAACTGACTAAAGAGTGGAATGAGACCCATGACTGCCGTAATAGCGAAGATTGTAATATGCCTATAGGTACACATAACTTGAGAACTGGACCCAAAATGAATAATAAGAACACAGGAGCGACTAGACGGGGCACCACTAAGTCACATATAAACGGAAATTTATTTCCGAACCCTCGTAGTAGTTTGTAAGGCCCCCATCAGCATAACGAGTACAGATTGGCTCACACTCTTTCTGCTTACATGCACGAAATGAGTCAACGAATGTGTGACTATGAAAGACTCAGCACACATTACTTTCAAGACAATCTAAAAACAAGGTACTTAGACCCTGTAAATTACAACCTGAACAGAGAAACAGACCATCTAATACCGAGAAATGGTCCCAGATATCCACGTGGTGACGCTAGAAACCAATATATGCAATAAGATTATGTTCGGATGCAGCAAAAAGTAGCCCCTCTTGCAGCGCAATTGTTTTAGCGAATAGTAGACATGCTGACAGTGTCTTACCTCAGAATCCCTCCGAAAATAATATAGGAAACCAGGAGTTAGGGAGAGTAACAAGAAAACTTACTAAATATTCTCCGAACAACCCTGGCTTTCTGAAAATTATGCTTTTAAATCCTAGATCTCTCCTTAACAAAATGACTTCGCTTCGCAGCCTGGTATACATGGAACGGCAAACACTAATCCTGGTAACTGAAACCTGGCTAACCAATGATATACCTGACATAAATCTGATAACTGATAACTGCGACATCCACAGGAATGATAAAACCGACAAAAAAGGAGGCGGGTGTCTAATATATGCGTCTAAATCCACTGGCTTTTACAAACTCAAATATGGATAAACTACCTAGCTTATCTTTCGTTTGTGTCCCAATCATTCGTCGGCTAGAGAATGAAAAACATAGGTATGCTGCGTAAAACGTTCTCCGTATACTCCTGGAAAGTTTCTGGAATAAAATCTCACTTGAAAAAGACGAATGATTGGGACACAAACGAAGGATAAGCTAGATAGTTTTGCCACATCTGTGTGCATTTATCAATTCAACTACACCTACAGTGTAAGTTATGTTGGGCATACTACTAGACAGCTTAGCCGACGTGTTGGTGGACATCTCCCATCGTGGTTTTGCAAATGACAGACAAAAACAATCCATAGCTCAATTTTGTCACATTTAATTGATAGTGGTCATGTAGTGGAGGAAACGAGAGTTTTCGAAGTAGTTCATCGCATTCCATCGAATCTTTACGGTAAACTTCGTATTCGTCTATTGCACACAGCTGAGGCGATAGGCATTCGAACTATTAAACCTAAACTATGCATTCAAAAGAAGTTCGTACAACCATTATCCCTCCATTGGCCTATTAAGACATAACCGACTAATGACTTCTTCACCACCCCTTGTTCATATTTTCAACCCCTTTCTTATCACCCCTTAATCTTACCACATCTTCATTAAAAACGCTTCATTTACTTCCCTTACAACCTAGCATTACTTAATCGGTATATTTGTTTTTACTAGCCTTTATCGACTACTTCCATCTGAACATTTGTTTGTTTAATCATTCCGTTTTTAAATATTCGTGTTATCACGGAATGCCTCACTTTTTCATCCTTATTATTGATAAGACCATTATTATTATTACCACTATTATGACCGATTGCACAATTTATATTCACCATCTTATTATCCTAGAGACAAAACACCATGATTGGTTTGTATCTGAATTTTTATTTGTAAACTTATGTATATTAGAGTTAAGCCTTATGAGATCTAACTGAAAACAGTATTGTTCGCTTAAATGTGTTGTTCTAAATTTTACTATGGGAATATTTAATATATCGATATAAAGACAATAGAAATGCCGACTGTGAATTTCTTACTGCGCTATTGAGAAGCTCTGGCTCGGATGAATACTTTACCAATAATAACTTAGAAGTAATACTTAATATCTTCTACAAGACAACCGGTTCGGTTATAGATACAATCACGCCCCTGAAATCTGCCCTAAAGACGCCAATTCTATTCACAGACCACAAAACGCGATAAAAGCTGAGGAAACTGAAAGGGGAATTTTATTTATTTAAATAATTTAGTGCATTACACCAGATACATGAAACATTTAAAGATCTGAGGAGAGACATAAAATAAAGGCACAACCCGAGGAAAACAAAGCCCTAGAGAGCACCTCTAAAACTCTGCGATATCTTGCAAAAACGACTAAGAAAGGGTAAACACAATGTTAGCCGCTTGGAACATTAAGATGTAATTTATGGTGATCCCCAGACAATCAGTGAACTCCTCAACCGGTGGTTCTCCAAAGACACCAAAGCGCACACGTTTTCACTTCTCGATATAACCTGCGAAAATAGCTACAAGTTAGCTGACACCAACTTTAATACACAAAATATTAACTCAGTGGTAAAGATGGTAGTTGTGGGATAGACGATAAACCATATATCATATACAAAAACAGTAGCACGGAATTAGTAGTATTATTACTAAGAATATCTACCCTCTCACTAGTTATTGGGACCAACCCTGAAATTTGGAAACATACACATATATTACCCAAGCATAAAGCAGGAGCTAAAACTAGTGTTGCAATTATAGGCCTATCAGTATAAGGCATATCATATCAATGATCATGGAGAAAGTAATCAAAAAGCAAATTTCAGACCGCTTTCTAAAACATAAACTCAACAGCCAGTCACAACACGGATTCCTCAAGAAAAGACCATGCGCCGATTGCCATATAGACTTTTTCAACGAAGTCGCCTGTAGAAGAGATAGAAGAGAACTAGTGCTATCCTTTATTTTGATATAAGTAAAGCCCTCGACAGAGTTCCACAGAGTCTGTTAGTGAGCAGGTTATGCTCACTAAGGATAAGCAACCTTCTTCAGAACTGGATAAAGTAATTTCTCTGAGATAAAAATCAGGCAACAGAAGTCAGCTCAGTGCTGTCATACAGGGGAGTGTACTGGGCACTCCTCTATTCCTAATATACACAAACAGTATATGTAAGTGCTTTAGCACAGGTACACCAATACATGATAACTGGTCGAAAGTAAAACAGTAATATGATTAAAACTACCGCATGCAAAAAATAAGAAATTGCTATTGATTCCAGTAGTGATGCCATCCGTCAGCGCTTATGGTGGCCGTTGCATCATCGCGATGTCACAGAGTTCTGCTAAAATTGTGATGGCTTTGATTTTCGAGTAACACCTACAATAACACGATTTGACTTTGACGCAGGAGTAGAGGCTACAGAATCTCGATATTGATTTCTATGTGAGCCGTCGTCTGACAAACTTCCACCTTCATTAGCTTGTTTACTGCATTTCTCATTTTGATTAGAGGTTCCGAAACGAGGGGAAAAATTTCTCTTGACAGATACCTGATTCGTTGCTTCAGCAACACGTGAAGCAGCTGTACTGTGGTCTGAATCGTGTTTGCCAGCCTTCAAATTCAAAGATATTTTAGCCGAATATCTGCAATGCACTCTGTGTTCTCGAGTTGGTGATGATGCTTCCTCTAGTAAACGTGGAAAATTAACAGAAGGAGATTCAGTGGAAGGACGATATCTACTTGTCACACTTCCAAAGGCCTTAACAGTGTTGATCAAACCAGGAGTACAGTACCACGTTGAATCAGAAATGTGACAAAAATCTTGTATTTCTCTCAAGAATCCGAAGAGGTTTGTAGTACTTTGTTGATTATTTTCAGCGGTTACGTCTTCTAAATCTTACTTATCCCAGCATTTCCCCTCTACCATTCTATGCCTTGTTCTGTGATGAAGATGCCTACAGTCGCAATATTATCAGCACATGATTTGCCTTTCCTGAAACCAGCTTGTTCCGGGAGGGATTCCGTATCCAGTGCATCCTTTATACTCTCTAGGATGATGCGACTAAGTATTTCACTTGGTGTGGACAAGATCGTGATTCCACACCAGTTGTTGCATTGGCCTAAGTCGCCTTTCTTTGGCAGCCTGATGAGGTAAATTTTCTCTAAATTGATAGGTGCCTTTACTTCCTTCCAAACCTTTTGCAGAAATTGTGTGAGCTCATTTGCGACATCTTCCCGTTTACAGTGCTACGGGGGAATTCCGTCTGGTCCTGCTGCCTTCCCGACTGGACTTCAGTAGCTTGATTGCATTTAGGATTTCTCCTTTCGTTGGAGGATTGGTGTTCACTGGCAGGCAGTTCTGAGCATGCTGTTGGTGGTATTTCTGGCCGAGTTGCAGGGGATGGTCGTCCTTTAAATTGATCAGCCGATTGTTTTATGAGTTTTTCCTCCTTGGTGATCAGGTTCCCTTGAACATCTTTTATTGGTTTCATCATCTGGGTTGATCTCTCCCCGGATAGAGACCTGGTTTTCTGATATAATGTCTTGTGATATATTTCGCCTGCAGCTTATCTGTTCTGCTTCAGTTTCCGCTAGCCAGTGTGTCGTAGAATTGAATTTTGTCTTTCCTAGCACGCCTCCACTTCTTTATTCAGTGCGTGTACACTGAACTTGGCATCTCCTTCTGTTATCCATCATTGCATTGAGTCATCTTCTCGTTCACCATGCTCCTCTCCTCGATTAGCTTCCAGGTAGGTATCCGCTGAGATCCATTCCTTGTCTTGTCTCTGCTTTCTTCCTAAACAGTTGTACACGTTTCCTTGTACACGATCCCCTGCCGGCGGACACCTGATATCCATGGTCGGCCTGCGAAATTTGGGCTACCGATATCACATGCTGAAAATTCCATACCTGTACCAAAAATACGGTGTGGAATCAAGCTGCAATCAAAAATGATAAAAAAATGTCGCGTTTATATAGTTCCAATGTTCTTCCACTCAGGTTTCCTCAGTGATAGCACGTAGTGTATCCTATTCCGCTTTGATCTGATCTGTAGTCGGGGCATATCATGAAGTTTCGTTCCGCAGTTTCTGAATATTGAAATTGGATTGTAGCCTGTCTCCAGCTGTTTTCAGGGATTTCAGCTTCACGTTGAAGGTTTTTTGAACTAGATGATGGTCTGAGCCCATATCTCCTTCCCTCCTCGACTTTGTGTCCAGCAGGCTAGCTGCGTCTCCACTTGCTCGAGTAGCATTGAGATGAAATCCATCTGGTTTGTCCGCCAGGCAAAATCCATGTTGCTTTGTGTATATCCCTTTGCTTGTACACGCTGACTCTGACTACTAAATCATTGAAAGCGAAGAAGTCTACGAATAATTCTCTGTCCTCATTAATTTCTCCGAAAGCATCTCGACCCATGATGAGTTCTCTTCCTGTGTTGGTGCCTGCTTACATTTTGGCTTGCAATTATAACGCCCATGAGGATTTCGATGTCACCATTCGAGATGTTGTCCATTACTGTTTGTAGTTGTCTGTAAAAGTCTTCCTTCTTTTCGTGTTCCACATTGTTTGTAGCACTTTACATATCACTGCATGATAACTGTGACCTTCCTTCCTTTTGAGTTGAAGCTTGCGATCATAATCCTGGATAAAATTAGTTCCCACTGCATTAGAGCTTTGGCTGACACTGGTGACATCATGACAGCCTTTTCACTGCCTCAGTATGCTCGTGGATGTCGTCTGGGTGACGAGAATGGAGTAGATTACTGACTCTTCAGATGACAATTTTGATAGTCCACACCCATTCCATCTTCTTTCTCAGTTTCCCAGCATTTCTGAGCCATATCTTTCCATTTCTTTCGCTATCTAGGTATCCTTCTTAGTCTCATACATTATACGGACATTTCACATATCCATTCTTATTCTTATTTTCATCGAGAGAGAGAGAAGACACACCGGCTGACTGACAGACTTCCCGAAGGCTTTCACCAGCCTGCTGTTTCATTTCGCCTCTCCGATCCCAGCGAAGAATAAGATTTTTATTTGAATTTTTTGTATTTTTAATATATTTTCTGTGCGTTTAAGTTTCTCTGGCAGTTTATTAGCTTTGGTTGTGTGGAGTTTCTAGACCCACACCCAACCCTCCCTCTTTACCTGCGCTAGGGATTAGCTAGAAAACCAGTAAGCTAGTTAACCAGAGAAGGTTTGGCATCAGAATAGGACACCAGAATAGTGGTACAATGGAAAATTTCCGACAGCTATTGGAATTGGCAGAAGGTAATTAGATAGAAGAGAAACATTTTCACAACCACGCATCGAGCAACAAGGATAGGTAGACAAGAATAAGGATTCATTGGCCATTGAAAAATACAAACATCAGAAAGAGATGTGGTCACCCCTCAGTTTCTTTCTGGAGAAATCCTATGCATGTGGAATCCGATATATCACCACTGATAGCGATCTACCCGCCACCTACACTAACATCAGTCACTTTGATGAAAATCACCAGTTCACTGTCTTCACGGGCCATGAATCTTTAAATTATGCCATAAATACCTCTATGGATAAACATTCTTCACATAAATTGCATCACATGGACCACATTTTGCAATGCACGTCTGATATCCGACATGTCTCTGGTGTAAGTCACCCTGCTGTAAACGAGTTGTTTCGAATTTGCACCACTACATTTCCTCCAACTAGAGGAAAGTGACGGACCTTCATACATCGAATGAGTGTGAATAAACTTAGACACTGCACTTCACCAAAGAAAGGTCACGCACCTTCCACTAATAGCGAGGTTACCATATATCACAGCATTTCCCCCGACACTACAAAGGCCTACAGTTCGAGCAGTTGTTGAATCACCATATGACTTCCAACACTCTGGTTTCTTACACCTGTCATGCCTCAAAAACAACCAGCACTAAGTAGTGGCCACAGGTGAAAAGTATTTTTTGAACGATAGACTTCAAATTTGTGTGGTTTGATCGTGATAAAGGAACTCCTACAAGTCTTAAACTAAATCCTTATAAATGCCAAACTGTTAATTTTAGCTTAAGATGTAAAAGACAAAAAAAAGTCGTCGATTCTCATGGCAGTTGTAAGGTTGACGACAATGATACAGGAATTAGATCAGAAATTAAGGATCTTGGGCTTATTCTCTCTTCTGATCTCTCCTGGTCTTCCCATGTCTTAGCGATCTCCAGTAAAATATTCCGCCTGACATTTTATATTAAGAAATTAAGGCACTCGGGTATAACTCAACCCCTCCCCTTACAGTTCATAAACTCTTGCATCTTAACTATTCTTCTTTATTGTTCACCTTTATTCTTTCCTGGTTTGCTTAAAAAGGACTATGTCACAATTCGTAGAATGCTGAAGATGGTCAGTAGGGTGAGTGGTGTCCCAGTGGACCTCATAGTTAATGTCGTTGTCAATAGGCACTTGGCTTCGTGCAATAAATTTGCTAAAGGGATTTTGTCTGACTTGGAGCATCCGCTTTACTCTCAGCTTTCACCTTGTATCTCCTCAGGTAGAACAAGAAGTAACTTCAGAAAACTGTATGCTCGTACGTCTAAGTATAGAAATTCTATGATACCATACTTGGCACGTATTTTATGTGATGAAAATAGTGTCAGGCAAGAATTAACTAACCTTTTTTCATCTAGTAAATAAACAATTTCCTCCATCCATCCTTATATACCTTCAAGTCTTACTTTTATTATTTCTATTATATTTATGGTCCTGTTGCTTCTTTGTTTTACTCTCATAATTGCAAACACCAACTTATCTCTATGACTGCTGTAATCTTTGTTTTTCCCCTCACAATATCATAAAAAGAGAACATTATATACAGTATTTTTACACATGCTAGGATTTCTGTACCGCATCGACAATACTGTGTGAAACAAGCCCACGGCAGTTTTCACTTGTATAATTATTATTACCTTAGCTGTTATCATTATCACTGCTATTTCCATTTTATATGCTGCATGATTTTAACATTCCCTCTTTTGTAAATGTGAAAAATTTTCTGTGCGAATAATTTTATTTGCAATTTGAGGAAATTAGATGCAATATTGAAATTAATGCTGAATATTCCATTCTGTAACACAAGTACTGTTTTGAGAATAAAGTAAATTATTATTATTAATATTAAGAATTCAAAGTCATCAGAAGGAAGGCAAAGGTTTTGGTCATCGACTGTACAACAGGTCAAATTAGAGTAGGCATTGGCCGCTTCTTATCGGCTTATATAGATGAGGAATAACTACTCTCCACACCCCGCAGGAAACTTAGGTAGTCGCAAGATCCTCATAATACACCGGACAATAGCACTAATGAGATATCTTCTGAACGCACTGACTAGTGTGTGCACTGGCGTAAACGGTACTCAGATCTTCGAAAATGAAATTCACTGAAGTATACCACTCTTCTGCTTCACAAAATACTATTTCGCTTTATTTAGTTTTTATCCACACATATCGTTGTGTACTTTAGAAAAACACAAAACAGAGGAGGCCTAGAACGCTTATGTTGTCTATTCATATTGTGCTTATATTTACCCTACTTCTGGTACGTTTTCGGGTTTGGCGTTTCCCCGTAATAATGTTATTTCTTATTCTTATAACTGCAGAATATCAAGAAGACACCAAAAGTCGGATACAACCCGCTTCTGATAATGCCAGTAGGATCGTTCTGCATTTTCTGATGCACCGATTCGCTCCCTGTGCACATCCTCAATAGAATTCGGCTATA